GGGCTAAAAATAATAATCGAATTCACGAGTTTCGATGCGCGGTAATATATACGACATGTACGCGTGCCTATAAATATATACATAATTAAAATAATGTATATTTCGACTGCGTAACGTACTTAACGCGATACCTGTATAGCGATCGGCGATCGTTTGTCATTTTTACACATTTTACAAGCACGCGTAATAAATATAAGTTACGCAGCTCTCGGCCGTTTATATTCAATCGTGATTGGCCTTAATGAGCCTCGAGAGCGATCCAATTATTCGCGCGAGCACCCGATGCCTCCCTGACACTCGTCCGAAATTTCGAGCGCGGCTGTATAATAACGACGCATTCATCGTCGTATCGGAAAATGAAAATGTAAGTGCTATACTCGATAAATTTATCTATTATACGCTTTCGTTGCGCGTTGAGAGTATATAGACGCGCGAACGGCGCACAAGACAGCTGCACGTACATTCGCGAACACACAATTGTTTTATATTCGCATGCCTTCCATCCCAGATATATGTATAGCGAGAAACGCTTTTTTCCGAGAATTCGTTACGTGCGCCCGCGTCCATACGCGTGTAATACATAAAACGCCGAGAGTCGTTACGCGAACGTATATACAACATAAGTACCGAATACGGGACTTGAGAGTCGCTCCGGCTGTTGTTGCAGTCGCCGCCGCCGTCTCTTCGTGTATCGTACCGTAATGATTTTAATTATTTCGGAGCTCTTTTTCTTATTACACACACACACACACACATATATGTATTTTACGCGATCGTGCGCCGCGCGGCCCGGAGATAATAACGATAATCATGCGATAAAAATAAATAAACGCGCGCGCGCGCGCGTGGGATACAGGCATTTTTTTTCGCGTGTGAATTTATAAACGAACGTACGAAACAAAAAAAAAAAAAAAAAAAAATGNAGTAAAAAAAAAAAAAAAAAAAAAAAAAGAAACGAGAAACGAGCGATAGAGGCAGCGGATATGCCGTAACCCGCGAGTGCCATACAGAGGCAGCTACGTGATAATTCCGTGTCGCTGCTGATTTTGATAAATGTCCCCGCCACAGCCATGTATATACCACTACGCGTTCGTGGATAAAGCGCGCGACGCACTGCGCGTGAATACGCATATACTATATACGTACGAAAAAGCTCGTGCATATCGAGTCGTAAATACGTATATCGCGCGCACTGGACTGCGCGGCAGCAAGTGCGCATACATGGCTGTGTATGCAAACCAGATCTCTCCCATAGAGCTGACAACGCATATAACGAAATTCAATCGATATTGTACCTGCCACTAAACTCGTGGATTCTTACGTATGTACGCGGTGCAAAACTTTCCTCTCTCTCTCTCTCTCTCTCTCGGTCCGACTCGTGGTGATCGGTCTTCGGGGACGTAAAATACTCGCTCGTATTCGTGTCAGCGGTATTTATTATACAATATTAATAAACGGAATCGAATAAACGGAATAAAGGATCGTGTACGCGTTTGTCGACGAAACTTTTTTTTGCGTCGCGCGTGTGCATACGTCGTTGTTATTGTTATACGATCTCGCGACACGTGTAACGAATGTAAATAATGCACAATCGTACATCGGATCGATGTATAGCAATTTTACGAATATTATTGAAATACATTGCCATCGAGTGGCTTACAATTACACGTATTGGAGTGCTATTTAAATGACTTGGACAAATGATTCAACTGTTTACAAATTATAGACTAATTTTCGATAATTTTAACGCGACAATATTCCACACTTTGAGCTCCTACCGCTAGACGGCGAGCATCTGTAAATCTGTAAATCTGCAAGTGGCAAAGACAAAAGAGTTGTATAAGTCAAAACTCGGATTTCTAATAATTTAACCTTCTTTACTTCTTTACTTGAAAGTGGCGTTGTACTGCACTACGCCCAACGTGGCTCAAACCGCACGCGCACGTTTAAATGTATCTTTAGCTATATTATTACGAGCCGCGTGCCGCGAGCGCGAAATGTTATGGTTACACACACACACACACACACGCATCGGATATTATTAGACAATGAGAGAGTTGGCATATGGAAGGTATAATACACACGAGCTCGAACTCGTAATATCCCAACTACGCGTTGAGGAACGTTTCGCAAATTAAATTATTTTATATCGCGTCTCGAACGAGCTGCAGGTCGCTACTTTCGAGTCCTCGACGTTCGCGCGCGTATTAAGATGCAAATAGCGAGCGAATTGATAATGTTATATTCGTTCAATGCTCGGTTTATATTTGCGATCGTTTGTGTATAACATCGACCGGAATGACTCGTAAGATGATAATTGCAGTTAACGTTTTTAATCGCGAAGTGAAAAAAAAAAAACAAGCTCGGCGCAGCTAGAGAATTATTTGCGTGCGTATCGCGTTCGCGATTGCCAAGGCGAAGAATCGAACGAATTACGGTTGAGCTAATTATTTGGCTCGAGAGAAAATTATTTCAAGATCTGCAAAAAATTTAAAGTCTAAAAAACAAACGATTAATTTATTTTAACAATCGTATCGTTTATATTTTTAATTTCATCGAAGCGAAAATGTAGAACGATAAAAAGCAGCTTGATCGCTTGTAAACGACGGAAAATGAAGAGGTAAAAGATGCTTGGGTTAATCTCTCGCCGCATCGAATGCAGATACGAGAGCCGTACGCGCGACTTTCGTCATTATAGTATGTATCGAGATAGCGGCGACAACAACAGCAGAACAATTTTACACATCCACGCCGATACTTTGTATGCGCGACGAAAAAAGGAGACAAAAAATCCTCGTCTTCTTTTTTTTGCTCCTCTTCTCGCGAGTGTCACGTGCGCGTGTATAATAGCACGTATACGTAATAACACACACACACACACACACACACACACACACACACACAGATGTAAGTATTTTTCCAATGCGCCACGTATATTTACGGAGGTCTTTGTCCCGGGCGATATACTTATATATATACACGAGCGAGAGACGCACTGCAGGCGCAACGGAAAGAGTCGTCGTCGGCCCTTGCGCGTATTATGCGCAATATATAAGCTCTCTCTGCGCTCGCTCGCGCAGTCGTCAAAGAAGCGCACAAGAGGCGCAGCTAAAAGCCGGCGACGACGACGACGACGACGACGTAGAGAAGAAGAGAGAACGACAGAAAGAGAGAGACCCTTCAATAATTTGTCTCGTTTAAAAACGCGACTCGTTATTATGCTCGATGCGTTTAACCATGGGGACATCGAGGCCTCGAGTCGTTGTCGCACTTTATGCAGTCGTTCGTTATACTCCTTTCGTTTTTTAGATGAAAACAAAAGAGCATATTAAGAGGAGAAATTATAACACTCGTCATGGAATCGGCGCGATATTATTATTGCGCGGCATTCGAGAAATGCCGAAGTTATAAATCACTCCAACGAGGATAAATCATTCTGACGAGTGAGAGAAACATACCCATATATATATTCATGACCCTATGTACATATGCGTCGTTATTTAGGTGTGGCACATCGCAACGCGCGCGCACACACACACACACACGTGCGCACAAATGTATATATACGCGGACCACGCGCAAAGGAGCACTTCAAAGTTGGCTCGTCTATGAAGCGTATATAGTATACGAGAATGTATAAGCGTAAAAGCACACACACACATAAGAGTGTGGGTATACACGCGCTCGATTCTCCAAAAGGCAGCGTATATATATGTACACGTCGTTCTTCGCGCGCCTGCAATATGTACTGCACTACGTGCCCTCGAAAGTTTCTTCCGAGCTTAGTAATGAAATAATTGCCGTGCCATACGCGATTTCGCGCGTACACATTCGACACTGCGATGTTCCCTCCTCGATTGCGCACAATTTCGTTCCTGTTTCTTTTTTTTTTGTTTCGTACAATAAGCTCCACAATTTGCGCCTGTACACGTCCTATTCATGCGCCCGGGTTTGTTAAAGGCTTTGGAACGGAGCATTGCTCGCGAGAGGCTGTGCTGTTGTCGTTATTTAAAATCAACTCGATCGTAATATACCACATGTGTGTGTGTGTGTATATACACAGCCGCCTTCGCTCGTGCCGCTTATACCGGCTTATATTATTATATTAGTATATATAGGCCGATTACGCAAGCCTCACTTCCTTAGAAACGAGCCTAGTGTGTATCTCGGAGTGCATGGCATGGCACGCGCGACACGGGGGTGGGAGTTGTTTTCTCTGTTATATACGTATATAGTATATAATAATATAAGCTCATTAAAACGACGCGCTCGTACCGACCTATATCGCCGGGCGTTATGCGCACAAGGGATTTAAAGTATACGTCACGGTACGGTGTGGTATATTTTCAAATCGGATAACCCATATATAAAACTCGCGAGACTGGAATGCGAAAATGGGGGGGGGGGGGAAATTAGCCGGTTTTATTTCCGAGAAAATTTAGATGTAACGCGTGCACGCGTGCGCGCAGACACTCGATGCAAATATCGATCGATCGATCGAAGACAGGTTGGTTACGCACGACTCGCAGTGGGTCGACTAATCGCCCTCTCGAGTATTACGAGTCGATTGGAAGTTACCGATTGTCGAAGAAATTAATGAATTCGTTATAATTTATTTCAAGTACAGAAAGAGAAAAATTATTCTATTTTTCGACATTTTGGAAAAATGCTTAGTGTTTATCTAACTCATAAAAACAGCTACGTGGGAAGTGCATACGTATAAACTAATTTATTGGATCGACGTCATAGATTTCGTGACCACACAGAGAATGATGCAATTTTCATAGTACACAAATGTATAAAAAAATTTCTGCGATCGGTACTCGATCGTGTGCTTTGTGTAAATTAACATCATGAGTTTCACATTCATCAGATTATCATTTTTATCTATACTTATTATTACTGTGCGCGATGTGAAATCGGACTTGAGCCCCGTGGCAGTTATTGATTCTGGATTGAATGTCCTCGCATCGTTGAGCAATCCATTGGATTTGGCAAAATCCGTTTTGGACTTCGCTACTTTGGTATCTTCGGACAATGATCAAGACGATATCAGTGGTACTCTGGATGTCATCAATGACAAGTTAGATGAGATTTCTGAAAATCTTGATAGTTTCAGGAAAGAAGTCATGAGTAAATTGAACGATATAGAAATACTCGTGAAAATAGAGCCACTGATTTCGGAATTTTTTCTGCACGCGAGTACCATAGATAATCATTATCATAAACTCATGCACATGATAAAGGGAAATTACACGACACGATACGTGAATGACTTCATACATGGCGTTGCGAATTACGAATCAACTGGTGTAGAGCAAACTTTAGATATGATGCATTCGATATTATATAAAGTGGACGATACTGCTTACAAATACTCTTTAACTGTGAGTACGCTTAACTATTTTGAAATACATGGAGAGAAAAAAAAATGAAATATCGATTGATTGGCTCAGTTATCTTCGCCAGTTTGTCCGAGTCGCTACCTGCAGGTAAAAACTGTCCAGAAATTCTATCTAACGCTTCACAACGCTGAATTGAAAGGAATGGCGGTACTTGCTTATGCATTAAAACAGATAGACAAAAATCAATCGAGCCAAGGTTTGATTCAACTTATTCAACTTTTTTTATTCAAGTTAAATTAATGTACGTTTTAAAAAAATAGACGAAAAAATAGACCTCGAAGACGCGAAAAAAGATTTCCAAGAAAGATCGAAACACGCATTCACAGCTCAAAAAGAAACCATGAGCAAGATTTCTCGTGTGCTGTGGAACTGTACATCACACGGTCCTGAAGAAGGTAATTAGTACCATCGTTTTTCCGAAATAAAAATTGAACATTGATATTTTCACAGGTGTCACTTACGAACAGTTTGGACCGTTTATTTATAAATCATTTGAAATTAGAGATACGATGAGTAGCAGCTACCATTATAATTTTTGTCCCCAAATAAAAGATACTGTGAGTGAGTGTTCCAGCAAGTATGCGAATAATATGCAACGAAAAGAGTGCAAGCAGTTTGCGTATTGTCGTGGAAAAATAAAGTCTTGCGAATCCTTGGACAAGAATACAGTAGTTTGCGAGACATCGGTAATAAATTGAAAAATAAACTCATCGTTAATTATGTTTTGATGTGACACTTTTTCATAATTTAGACTGAAAAAGAACGCAAGTACGTTTATGCGGAAAGTAGAGGAAAGATCGAGGGTAAAAAAGAGAAATCGTGCAGTGGGAGAACATACGAACACCAAGCTAGCGAATACAGGCCCGGTTACATGGGTGCATTAAATCGCATCGACTCTTCGTGCCTTTGCACATGCGTAAACCCAGACTCGAATGTTTACATTAATTTGAGAGAAGCCGTATCTGATGTGCATAAAAATAAGTAAGAAATTGAAGAGTTATTGCGAATTTCCATGATAAAAAAAAAGTTTAACAAGAGATTAAATTATTGGCAACAGGGTCATCACGGGTATTCGCTTTAGAAAAATCAACGATACTTTTCATCTTCAGATACAACAAGCAAAACTTTTACCATCAGCCGCTATAGATCCAAAAACTAAAGCTTGGATAAAAGTAAACAAAACTGATAGCGACGCACGAGTAGGCGTCGATTATCATCAATTAAGCTGGGATTACAGGTCTTTCGAGCTCGACGACATTGAAGTCACTAAAAATCATGTTTTAACCGGAGTGAAATTCACCTTGGATCAAGGTCTATTAAGATTGGAAGTTCGAGGCTCGCAATTCAACTACAAAAGTGGGAAACTCAGGACTGATAAGCACACCTGGAATCGTCACGATACACCCAAAAACCAGCTGAAGTAAATGAGATACTTGGATCAACGATAGAATTTTTTATTTAATTCAAAATTGTTCGATTTCCAGCAAATTTGAACTGGAGTACTTAGATTTACCGCCGGATCATCCGATCGACGAACCCGTTCTTACCGATCCGCAAACGTACGCGACATTGAGGACCAGTAGCATGGATCACGATTTAGGACAAAGCGTCATACCGTTCGTCGACTCGAGGCCCATCGAATCAAGGAATCCCGACGTACCATTGTCCGGAGTTGGATTGTTTCATAAGAGCTACGGAAAGGACGCGGCTGGATATCTAACGCTCAAGATTTTAACTTATAATTTCACTTAAACGATTGTACCCGACTGTTTGTACAATTTGTTTTCATTTCTAACGCTATAAAAATAATGAGAAATAGCAACGACAACGATGGCGATCTATTGTTGTGTTGACGCATACCAGCTCGCGAAACATAAATCCCGCATCGTAATAACTCAATCGTCGTTGAACGATCGCGAACGAGGCTACATTATATTATACCGAGCCTAGCTGTGAAAAAAGCTCGAGCCAACGTAAGAGATAGCCACCTGCGGCGCTTCTATGTACGTATATTTTATACACACGATGGTGATATGTGTTATATACGTATATATACGATATAAGCGCGGGGGCGTAGTGGCTCGGCGCGTTGTATAGTCCTAATGGCATTCGTGTAATACCCGCGTGCACCCGCGTGTGTCATACACACGAACCGTTAGGTTCGACGCTGATTTAAACAGCGCCGGAAATCTCGAGTTCTCGCTTGGGTGTCTCCATCTCTCGGTACCCCAATAATCGTATAATGACACTTTTCGTTGCGTCTCTTCGCGCAGCGTGTATACGACGATGATGACGATGATGATGGAGATGATCGAGCCGGTTGTGTCGTCGTTCGTTGATGGGTAACGAGATCGCTAGATAATGCCGTCGTGTTGTGTGTTTGTAATACGATGGAAATCGCTCGGTACCAATGTATACGGTACACGGCTCGATCAAAAGTCGCTCAATCGATGATGTATACATAGTTGTCGTATTGCGAGCGTAGATCACCATGGCATCGTGTCAACAAAGCCTCTTTGATTGCTCGCGTTTGCATCGTGAGAAAATTACGAGAGAGACACTTTACGCGCGACTCGGCTGTTGAATAAGCATTTAATAAGCTCGGCTATATGCTTATTTATACAAACATAAACTATAAGGCAATGTTGGCGTATAAATTCTTCTTCTCTTTCTCTCTCTGACTTTGCACTTGGCTTTATAGATGTAAATATACGCGCGCGTCGACGCGACACGCCTGCGAATTTCATTTGATTAGTCGCAATTGAAAAATGGGTCATTTGTGATGTCTGTATACAAGTGCTGCGAATGCTGGTGTAGTACTATACGAGCTCATGCAAATGTCGATAAGGCGGTGATTGTGTGGGTCTTTTCGAGCATTATAAAGAGGAAAGCATTAATTGCGCGCACACGATAAAACGCTCGCGACACATATGCGCCGTCGATTGAAAACATCGTGGTAGTGAAAAAAAAATACATTCTGTCGTCGCGCAAAAAATTTATCTCCGCGGGTGCGAATAAAAAATCAAAAATTTCGAGCACTAGCGGAATGCCGTATACCACGCGCGTATACGGCTCGAAATATTTTCGAATTGGCCCGAACTCTTGTGTGCTTGATACACGATGTAAACACAGGGTGGAAGTATCGAATATATCAATCGAGTGCGACACTCGACTGGTTCTCCCTCTGTCCCACTCTCACCCACTCGAGTCTCTCTCTCTCTCTCTCTCTCTCTTGTGTACTGCTTCATGAGTGTGTGTGTGTGTGTGTTTGTGTTTGTATGTATGACCCTTTTCTTTTAGTTTCGACTTTTTACGCATTCCTGAATGCATTGCTCGCATCCGGTGCGGCTCTTTCTCTCTCTCTCTCTCGCTCGTTCGCACTGCTGCTGTGTACGCGCATGTGGGGGGAGCCCTAAATGAATTTCCGTTCAAGCGCGGCCTAAATTGCGCGCTTTGTCATTATAACGCACTGCTGGTAGAGAGAGAGCTTTTGCTTATTATACGGGCGCACGAGGAGAAAGAGAGCGAGTGAATGAACGAGAGTGAGAGAGAGAGAAAAAAAAGAGTTATTAATCGCAGCCAACCAAGCCGATGCGCGAAATAATTTCGACGGCCTTGTTTCTCGCGCGGATATGGCCGATGATTCGACTGCGCTTTATTTTATCGGAGAGTACGCGGTGTTGAATAGATAAAAAAAAAAATAATATTTTTATCTTATTCATAATTGTCGATCGTGCATCGCAAGTGCATTAATATATACACTTACTGACGCGTTGGAAAGCGCGTCATCGATAACGACAATTAAAAAAAAGAGTATAGATTTTTCGCTCACGATAGTTGAGCAAAAAAAAAAAGAATCTTCCGATCGCATAATCCGATGGTATCACGCACGCGTGCGGCTGCGTCATGAGTATTATTAATAAAATGCCATGCTATACATATACACGTACCCTCGAGTCGATAATTCTTTTGTCGCACTCAATTACAGTTTGTTTATCGTCTATACATAATATACCTATACATGTATGAAAAGAAAAAAAAAGAAGGACGGGATGGGATGCGTTCGTACGTGTATATTTACAGTGATTATCGAGCCGCTTATCTGCCGCTGTCATACACGCGCGCACGCAACCGCCGAATCTCGCGTGTGTATCTACCTGTTGGCATCTCTAATCAGTCTCGACACGCACGATTCTGAAGCTAGTAGCGTATTATTCTGTCTCTCTCGCTCGTTGTTTACTTCAGTTCCTATAGGCTCGCGATTTTAGGTGGTTAATTTTTTTTTTTCGTATTTGCAATCTATCTAGACGCGAGTGGCCAAATTCTCAGTGCAATGGTTAGACGCGCATTTTCCACCGAAAGTTCGAGCGTGTGATTTTTGGGTAGGTGATCGTGGGGTTGGAAAAGCCAAAACCGTGAGAAAAAGTGTAATGACGTCGCCGGCTTCGGAAGAGCTGCAACATCAGGTGACACACAGACACACATTATAAACACGAGCGCGCGCGTTACTTATCATCGAAAATATCGTATAACCTACGATTGTACGCCAAGACAGAGAGAAGCGAAGATGTCTTTGTTGAAAATTCACGTATATAGTTAGAATAAACAATCGCTCGTTCCGAGAAAACATCGCTACTCTCGCTACTATTTTTTTTGGCCGCGTTGCTCGACGTTTCGTCTCGAAATCGAATCATTTGGGTCGTCGCGCGCAGTACTTTCAATGTTTCAAATGTCTTTACTCTTTATCTTTCTCAACTCGCTCACTTTTTACGAATTTCAAGAGTATCGAGTGGCAAAAAGTGACGATAAATCTAGAGCTTCCGCGATCGCGATCGATGTTAACGCGGTAAAAAATTATTATTAATTCGTTATCGCTCCGCATGAGACGGTATCTATCGGCATTCCATCGCAAAAGTACACGCATATAATACAACACGCCCACGTGTGCGCGCCTCTGATTGCTTTACGAGAAAAACATTTTTTTCTTCTCTCTCTCTCTTAGTTCAATTTAACGCGTCGCTCGTGTCCTCTATGGATCTCGAGCCTGAGCGATGATTGTCCGCCGCCGCGAAGATCTTATTTATTTCTTCGTCGTGTCGCTGCTGCGCTTCTTTTTTTTCTCGCGGTGACGCATTCGGAGGCAATTTTGTAAAACGACGTAATTGACTTACACGTATTAATATATATTTTTAGATATGCAGCTAAATCGACGAAAAGAAGAACCTTGGTCTCTCTCTCGAGCGCGCCATTGTTTTCTTAGCGCTTTAATTCGCGCGTTGGTAACGAGCCGAATTGAAATAAAATTATCGCGCGACTGCAAATTGGCCATCTCGGATGCGATAGAAAATAATAACGATGTATAAAAAACGACCCTGACTCGATGGTATGCGCGAGCGCACGCAGCCTGTATTAATCACCTCTGCTTCGTTATTAATGGTTAAAATTTGCTAGATAAAAAAAAAAATACATCACGATAATAATTCGGTGCAGTCGTGCATCGAAACGGCCCTGAGGATAGAGTAGTGTACAACGCAGCGCGTAATACGCCGCGCGTTAAACGTCTCTCGTCGAGTCTCTCTTTTGGCCGGGGCTTTATTATTAGCTATATAACCCCGCGCGCGTCTTTCTCGTATACGCTTCTCTCGTTTACAGGCTTTAATAATAACCGCGGATATCGTAAATTCCCTCGTATCATGTATATGCAAAATTCCTACCCCCGACAACGATACGATAAAATATTATTGTGCGTTTTATATTAATCTTGTGATTTTTTTTTTCATTTTCCAGCCGCCGGAGAACGAGCTGCAGAAGGTGGGCGAGCGCGTGCCGTCCGAGCACGAGCTTAGGGTGCAGCGCTCGCTGCAACGGCTCAACGTGCCCGACTGGTATAAGAACTCGCCGGTCGCGCGCGACGGGGCCGCAGCGGCGGGCTTCCGGTTGAAGCGCCACTCGGACGCCTCGCAGCACGGCGGATGGCGCGCCCTCGGCTCAAAGACCACATCTCTATCCTCGCTCTCGTCGTCTTCCAATCGACAACCGACCACAGGTGAGAAAAATTGGTGTAAAATCGTTCGTACGATATCAAGATTGATTCGATATTAGCAGTATTTTCAATAAATGATACGGGATGCATAATATCATAATAAATTTAAATTTTTTATCTAATCAAATTCACTAGATAGTACATCGCGATTTTTGACAAAAGTAAACATACATTTCAAACATCTATTGTGTCCTAATACATCATTGGTGCGCAATCTCGATGTGGGCTTGAAGATTTTTTTCATGACCGAATGTCTTTTCACAAACATTGCACTTATAATTGATACCATTATGCATCATACGGCAGTGTTTCTTGAGGTATTTCCTGTATGTAAATTTTTTTCCGCATGCATCGCATGTGTGTTTGATATCATTATGTATCGAACGAATGTGTTCTTTGAGATAATCTCGTCGTTTAAATGTTTTTTCACATTGATTACATACGTGAGTGATACCATTGTGCGTCGTATCGATGTGTCTTCTGAGCGGACGCTTCGTAGAGTATTCCTTTCCGCAAGTATCACATGAAAATTTGATTCCACTATGCATCACAACCATGTGAGCTCCGAGATACTTTTTACAGGCGAATGTCTTTTCGCATTTATCACATTCAAAAGTGATTTTACTATGCACTGCTTCGATGTGGACTTTACACAAGCGTGGACAATACCATTATGCACTGCTGTATCACTCGGTGATTTGGGTCTATGTTGTCGATCAGACTTTCTTGAATTTCTTCTTTTTTCATTTACTTTCTTAAGTTCACGGTTGAAATTCAATTTCGAATTTTCTTCATGGTCACCAATTAGTTCTGTTTTCACTTGGCCGACAGTTTCCATTTTGATTACATGATTAGTATTATAATTATCGCCATATTTCACGTCCTGCGAGTGGTTGAGTAATGAGTTCATGCTGGGCATCTCGTCTTTACATTCGAACTCGATTTTTATATCGTCAACTTGAGATTCATGATTGCCGTCGTATTTTTGAAGCTTGAAACACTGTTGAAAATTTATGGTAAAAATTTCGTTAAAACTATTTACAATAGAAGTCGCATATGATTATCAATTCTTACCGAATCATCTTGTGGAAATAGCAAGAGTTGGACGTTTTTGAAATCAGTTGGCTCGTCGATAAATTCATCTTTATATTCAGTAAACGTCACTTCAGAAGGTTCTTCTTTAACTCTACAACAATTATAATACGATTGAGTAAAAAGCTATACTAATTTAATTCTTTCATTTCAACGAAATAAATATTACCTGACGACACAGTCAAATACAGCACTGGGTTCCATCTTTCTTAGTTGAAATGTAGCGAACGATTGATCATTCTGTATTCTGTATTACGTATTAATACAATAATATTTACAAATCGTGCCACTAAAATTTGAGCAAACACGCGTAAACAGATCTGTTGTCTCGTTGCTCGAGCATCACCGAGTCATTGTTGAGTCTTCGAAGAAATTACCATCGATCCCCCCAACCAACGACGAATTTATCAATGCCTCGCAAAATCTCATCGTCGCATCCTTTTTACAGGGACGCTGCTATCGCCGAGCCCGACACCGCCGGTGTTCTCGCGATGGAGCACGAGCCTGCTGAACAGCGCGGGCAGCTCGCCCGCCAACTCGGCCCGCTCGTCCTTCAATCATCGCCAGCCCTATCTCGGCTGGCGCTCCCAGGAGCGGCTCGCCAATCCGCGCACACCCGCAGAACGCCTCGCTCAGGGCATTCTGCCGCAGCTGCAGAACGCAAACAAGGTACAACTTTTGCTATACATTATTTTACCATTTGCTACTGACAGAGAGAGAGAGAGAGAGTTCACACGCACGGACGGATGTCAAAAATCGACGAAAAATAATCGAGGCGACTTTGATTAACCTCGATGAACCGCGAGCGAGCTGGGGATAGACCTTCGGGCGCGCTGCCGCGTCTCGCTTTTGCTGTACGTGTAAATATAGTGCATACCGCGCGGCACAATGTTTACGAAAGCCCGAGGCTAAAGGTCAGCGCTGTATGTGCGCAGCCACGCAGCAAACTCGACGTTTAATTGCTCGCGCAAACGTATAGGGGGGGGTACGTATGTGTGTGTAGTTGATGAATTTTGGACTCGACGAAAAAAACGAAAAAAAAAAAAAAAAAAGAAAAAATGAAACGATATCAGCCGCCAAAGTCCACGTGTTGCTCGCTCTATAGCCCTTTGTACACGATATACACCCGTGCGTCGTTGCCGCGCACACACAACGCGCCCGAATGTGTATATAAAACGGGTGTTTTTGCGAGCGTTGTATATAATTATTTTTAAAATCCGCGGAGAGAGTCGACGGGGCCGCGCGGAGCAAGTTTATTATTAGCCCCACGAAATGTGCTGCTGCTGCTGCTGCCGCTGCGAGTCGACGTCGTCGCAGTAGTCGCAACATCTGGTGTGCGCTTCTCGAGCTGTGCAAAACTCTCTACCTACTACTGCGACTACTACTAATATACTTGCCGAGACTTTCGTAGAATGTGTGTGTGTGTGTGTTATACTACCGCATCTCGAGTCGAGCCGAGAGTCGTGTCTTTTCATGCTTGGAAAGAGTTTGAATGTCACAATCTTGATCTTGAATGATTTGACTCGTGAGCGAACACGCGTTTGCGAAAGCGGAATATTATCACAATTTTATTTATAACGCTGGTTTTTCGGGCGCAGCGGCGTAGACGCGCAAGCATTGCGCGGGAAGCGAATCGTAATTTTCTAAAGTTCCACGCGCGCATATTTGACTCTCTCTTTTTTTTACTTTTTCGCTGCATTTACGAGCTGAACTTTCTGAAATTAAAACTAATCGTCGTAAATTTTGCAGCGAAATAGTCGAGCGTGTCGCGTGGCTTTCGCGCGCGCGCGTCGAGACAATGAATAAATCCTTGAGCTTGCAAAAAGCTCGAGCCAGCATCTATACGTTGCGCGTTATAATGCGGAGCGCCAAGTGCTGAATGTTTTACACAAAATAACCGCTAATTTTGCGTTGAAATTTTAATGAACACGTCGCTCTCTCTCTCTTGCAAACGATGCTTATCTAGAGCTTTTTGAGCGCACGATTAATTAAATTAATTAATTCTCCCTTTTTTCTCTCTCTCGCAGCAACAGCAGGGAACAGCCCAATCGAGCAGCAACAGCAGCAACGTAACAGGTCAGCAGCAGCAGCCAGGTACTCAGAGTACGAATCAGGAAGTGAGGAATTCGATAAAAGAAGTGACCTCAGCGATCGTGCATTACGTGCAAAGCGGACAAGAAGCCGCCAGCGGGCGTCTGTCGCCGCGCACGGCGGCCCAAATGCATCAGCAGCAGCAGCGTCAAGATTATTACTGGGACGACGGGAGGCAGGGCGCGAGATCGACCAGCCCCCGAGGTGAGCAACTTCTTTAGGACAAACAAACAAACAAATAATAAACGAAACAACAACAGCGACGATACGAAAGAATTCGAAACAAAAGTATCGAAAGCTGTACAGCAACGATGTCGACGGGGAACAAAAACGAAAAAAAAACAAACGAATCAACTGCTTAGAATATTATAATTATCATTGATTTTATCACATTGACACGGTCACATCATCGAACCGACACGTGAAAAGCAACAACGACGTAGAGAAAGAACGAAAAAAAAATCTGTGCATTTTTCCTGTGTCTTTTATCATTGCGACGGAGCTTCGCGACTTTTTTTCTTTTTTATATATGAATTTATATAATATTACACGCACACGTACACATCGTCGTCATTGTTATATTTTTATATACGCCACGCACACGAGTTTTTCTCACTCTCGAAAAAAAAAAAAAAAATATCGCCGCGCCGCATCATCGAGATTTTCGCAGCGAAGAGATGCAAAAATGTATCGAGAAACGTCGTCGTCATCGCTCAACCGAGTATAGAGAGAGCAGCCGCCATTGTAGCACACCACGCAGCGCAGTCGATGTATTATTATTTTATCATTTACACGGAGAAAAAAAAGCCAATTTCTTCTTACGACGACACGCAGTTTATAAAAAAAAAAAAAATTACGATGATCTTCATCTCGACGTGGATCCATGCAGCAAAAAAACAAAAAATCGTCGATCGATACATGTATATTCGGCACACACACGGAACGAGCAAATTTTTCACGAGCTTTTATTTTCCACAAAGAAAATTTAAATAAAAGTCACGATGTCATCGTTGCAACACGAGAAGTCGTCTAGTCTATCTATCTGTCCGTCTGTCTCTCTCGCTCGCTCGCTGTGTGTGTCTCTCTCTTTCTCTCTCTTGTCACGCAACTCTCGAATGTGCGCTTGCGACGTTGTCGTCCACCGTTTGTGCCACAGTCCGCGCTTTGTCCGAGGTAATTTTTGGTTTTTTACGTTGTTTTTGTTTCTTCGATTAACCGCACTTGTTTATTTTCTTTTCGTTTTCCGATTATTACTAATCCAAATGTTGGTGGCGAAATCCGCGAAGTATAATATTACTAACCGATCGAATTACGTGGGTCTAACACATTTCACCTTTTATATATGCTCTCGATCGCTCTCAAAAAAATTAATCAATCGTTTCAACTGTTTCGCACTTCTTGTGTATCATGATATCATTTTTCGAGTACACAACGAGCAACCATTCATGATGTCAGGAAATCACGCTTTCAAGCACTCTCGACATTACGACACATGGACACTCACACACGCGTACATTACATGACACATGCAATCGTTCGCAGGCATCGACACCACGCACACACACATATAATCAGACTCAGTGCACAAAAAAGATTAGGTACGACGTCGTCGAAGAGCCGAGGCAATTTTATACATATTTTTTTTCATTTTTTTTTCAACGTCGACTCTTTGCGTCGAATATATTATGAGTAGAGACTGTAACACGGCTCTGTGTTTTTTTACGACGACTATCTATATACTTACTGTGGACGAGCTTTTACGAAGTATATATATTATAATGTGCAAGCGTTCGACTTATCTGTTTGTTACAATGTGTGCTTTTACTCTCCATCTCTCGATGTTTTGACACAAATGCTAAATTAGAAACTTTTAGATATTGTATATCCAGAATATTTCTTTTTTACGTTTTGAGTGTGAAAATTACTATGTGGTATATTGTATACGCCATTATACTCTTTGATATTTATGTGTATTTCGTATTTGTTATGAATATATATAATACACGCGACACATCGACGACCAATACACAAACGATACAACAACACACGATCGCATACGAAGGTAAGGATTATATCTCTGAATGTTTTTCTCTCGATGTCTTCTTCGTGTAACCACTCGCACACACACCACCGACGCAATCTTTATGAGAATATTATTCTCTCTTTTCTATTTCAAGTTCGGCTACCTCTGCGCTTATACGTCGCGCAACAAAAAAAAGTCATCGATACATCGCCAGCGCTCGGGCGAGTTTTTCCTCGTGTCAGCGGATACAATCCACGTCTCGAAGCGCCGAGCTTGATCGAGCCCATTAACCCCTTGGCTCTCGGAGGGGGCGCTATATACACGAACAAAAAAAAATAATAATAACACGTACCTCGCATGGGTAATTTTTTCGTTGCTTTTACTTTTTTTCAATAGCCGATCGATGACTCAAAGCCCTCTTTACTTTTTCTTCTCTCGCCCGCGATTAAATATCCTCCTCGCAGTACGCGCGTTTGCTCTCCAGTTTGCATGTATATCGTTTTACCTCGGCGAGAGAATCGATTTTCTCCTCTTGTAATCTCGACGTAGGCTCGCAGGGGGCCTATATTTAGCGAGTTTGCTGCGCGCAGTATAGTAAGTTGATATACCTCGCTGCAACGGTGCACCCCCTCGTGGACTCGAATTTAATGAAACGAAGACGGAGTTTGATCGAGGAGCTTTAATTATTATAATCCCGGAGATGCGCCGACTGTGTATATGTATACAGCCGGTGTATATAGACGACTTGAAATTGAAAATGAAGCGGATTAGTCTTGGAAACACGAAAATTACTCCCCCTCGCTCTGTGCCGCTAGATGGTACTGAAATTACTCAATTTACACCCGAACTAAAAATTAGTTTTAACGCAACGGTATTTGAATGCCGCACCGACTGCACACGCACACACTTGTACACACGGATCTACACCTCCTCTATATTTAAAAAAAAAAAAACCTCACTGTTTCCTCTTTCATCACGTGCGAAAAAAAAACAACACCAGCAACAACGACTCAACGCACACGCGCGCCGGTGCATCGGTTCATTCTTGTATATACACTCGGCTGATCCTCCTTTGCTGTGCGCCGCTTCGACATGTTCGCTTTTGTATGCGTTGTGTCATATTACGAAGGTTCGAGCGAAAGAGAGGCACAAAAAAAAGCTCATCATCGCAATTTCCATTCGTCATTCATTAAGAAAACAGCGACGGCAAAAAAAAAAAATCTCGCTAAATGGCTTTTAATTCTGCCTGCGCGTATGCCTGTCTATGTGTGTGTACAATGTATGCGTGATTACGTTATATACGTAGTAGACAAGACGTTGAATCATCCAATGTGCCATTTTCTTAGACCATAAGCGCAGCGAACTGACAAAGCAGCGTCGGCGGCGGCAGCAGCAGCAGCAGCTAATTTGAATGGCTTCCATACCAGTAGTTGTAGAATGTGTGTTTCTGTATGGCCTGTTTAGAGAAGGGACGCTTGGGCTTTAATACTTGTCTATACTTTTTTTTTCCTTCGCTCTCTCGGGCGCGCGCGATCGCCTAAGAAAACGGATAATTAATAACAATAATAATAACAATGATAACGATTTAGAACTAACAGTCTACTAGAAAGTCGTGAGAAAAAAAATTACTAACAACCAACCAACCAACAACTACTACTACTACTACTACTACTACAACAAATAACAGACTATATAGAAACTAGCAAAAAAAAAAAAAACAAATAAAAAAAAATCAATACTATCCCCTCTCCTTATGGCTAATCAAAAAGGGAGCAGCCGTATGATCTGGATGGAGAGTTCCTTCGTGGGCACGAAGCCGGTCGAGGCGCCGAGCGTGGCCCCGGCCAGCCTGAACCTCGACAGCAGCCACCGATCATCAGCAGCGACGACGCCTTTGCCATTGCGTTCGTCTACCCCCGAGGTCTATACGACGACGATGACGGGGACAGCAGCGACTTTGGCTGCGAGATCGACAGCAGCGACGATCGGGGCGCCGACGACGACTACGACGACGACGACGAGTATCTACCTCACTACGTCTCAGCTGGACGGAGGCGCCTCCGAGACCACAACCACAAGCTGCGAGGAGGACCTGGAGGACCTGGAGGAGGTGGAGGACGGCCTGGCGACGCCGGCAGGCGAGGACAACAACAGCCTGGCCGGCTTCGGGGCCTACTGGAGCACGAGCATCGTCAGCAGCAGCAACAGCAACGCCCTAGACCACAACAACACCACCACCAGCAGCAACAGCATCATCATCACCACCCCGGCAACGGCAAACAGCAGCAGCAGCAACAGGGACGGCTTAGCAATGACTACTTTTACTACCAGTCAGGATCAGGCCAGACGTCATCAGCATCGTCAGCAAGAATCAACCACGCAGCAGCAGCAGCAGCAACAACAGCAGCCAACTGCTGGTGAGTTGGTCATTGCTTGAAAAACAAAAAAAAAAAACGAGAGTTCGGAAAAAGTGAGACGAAAAAAAATAATAATGATAATTCAAACGAACGAAAGAAAAGAAAATCATGATAATTGTTACTCCATCTATATAATCCATTTCTGTATGTCACGTATATCGTGTACCGATGGCATGTGTCTCCAGTGCGTATGTGTGCGCGTGTTTGTGTGAATGGCCCGTTCCTATTTTATTATTATTACATCTCCATCATTACATGTGCTATATGTTTTCTTTCTATACATATAAAAAGGAGTCGAGCTGTTCCGGCGGTGGCTGAAAAATCAATCCCTATTGTCGTGCTTTATCACTACTTTGTTCTCTATTTATGTGTATCTGTGTTTTTGTACATAAAGTATGACGATGATTCTTTGTACAGAGCAACAATTAATAATATTCGTATATTTTGCACACCACGGTTGTTTCCTATCTCTCTCTTATTTGTTGTGTACATTTTTTTCTTCTTCTTTCAATTTCTCTAATCGTCCAATTTGTAAATATTATACATAACCGAGTATATAAATTAAATTTATGTAACGAACGACAAGAAATATATATATTTTTAATAGACGGGTGCGTAATTTTTTTTTTGTTTTTTTTTTTTTTGTTTTATTTTCACGATTGTACAATGATATGCATATATCATGCTATATTTATTCGCAAACTAAACCAATGATATTGGATAGAAGACGACCATGACTTTCGCTCGATTATATAATTATTGTTTATTATATATCTATTATAATACTTTTTGATGTGATAAGTTAGGCGAGTGCAATTTATATACCTCACGTGTGTGCGTCCGAGTCCGTGGATTTATCTTTCTTTACGAAAACAGAAAAAAAAAGAGAGAGAAAATTTATTTATATAAAATCTATATACGTTATATTTATACTTGTGCATCGGGCGTTCATCGATCGCGTTCCGTCGGCTTTTCGTGAAATTTTCGAGCTCGCTGAGAGACAATTGCAGACGGTTTATTATTACTGCTACATGCCGATGCTCATGCTGCACGCGAACGAGGAAGTGCTTCGAGGGACACGGCGCGGCCGATAGTCGATGTAACCGCGCGCGAGTGTCTGCGGTTCGTCTCTGTCTTGGGCTTCGAGCCAGATTGCCCGAGCTCTGGCGTGCGTCGGTAACAGGGGTAGGTGAAAATTCCGTCTCTCGATCTTCTCTCTTTCTCGCGCGATTTAATAGTCGACGAAATTAGTGATCTATTTTTGAGAGAAACAAAAAAACGATACATCTCGATTGGTAAATTACTCGTATACGAACTTATGCGGAGGTTTTTCTTTTTCTTTTTCGTTCGCGCGCGCGCGTGGGTGCAAATTTTCTCGTCATTCCAATCCGTAACGATACGAAATAATAAAAAAAAAGCAGACACTTCCCTCGCTCGATTTTTACTCTAATTTTAGTTTACGTATTTAAACGAACAAGTAAATGTGTCGCGCGCGGCGCAACGCGATATCGTGTGTCTGTGTCTTCCTGCAATTATTCACTTCATTTCGTTATGCTCTTGGTGTGTGTGTGTGTGTGTGCTGCAGTCCGCAGCGATGTATGTGTGTGTGTATACGTGAGCTTGTGATTTGTCGTCCCTTTCTTCTCTCTCTCTCTGTCTCTTTCTCTTGTTCTCCATTAGACGTTTACTCTGCAGCCATATATTCTCCACTTCTCTGTTTTCTCTTCTTGGACATTCGTCTTTCGCTCCTGTATGTGTATGTTAAAAAAAACAAAACCTATTGTTGTAATATACCTGCATTCGAAGCCCTATTTACACGTATTTACATGATAAGGGTGAGATCCAAAAAAAAATCAAGTCCTAATTAAAAAAAGAAAATTTAACGAAATTGGAAAAATTTATTATTGTGTTTACATGGATATATATTTATTTATTGAGAAAAAAAAATTATTTATATATTTGAACGTAGCATACTTACGAATATGTTATAATTGTATAAATGTTAGTAACTGTTTAAATTGAACTGTCAGAAAATATCGTTGTAGTACCCCTTACTCGAATGATTATTATTTTATCTAGATACTTATGAAAAAAATTAGATAATAAACATGAAAGCTTTACATGTACGTTTTTAATCATACAAAGTTGTTTTTGCTTGCTTATCTTTTATTATTACTATTTAATTAATATTGCGTAGTATCATTATTATTTATGATTTTTACGTATTCATTTTCATTAAAATCATCATCTCTATCTTTATTATTATTATATATTGTGTTGATTGTACGTGTATTATCTATTATTATTATTATTAGTAATATTATTATTTTATTATTATCATGAGAGAAATATTGATTATCTTAACTATTAAGTACACGTATGAGCGATTTTAAAAATAATCCATCGAAGCTACCGTAAGTCAATACGATAGGCTTCGTTGGATAAAACAAGTATCTAACGTAATATTCGAAAATTTGCACTTTTTCGGCAATATTATACATTTTAATATTACGCTGTTAACGTATTGAATCGATCAAAGATGAACTAAACGATTTCTCTCGAAAAGCTTTAAATAAAATTATTTCTCTTCTCCCCGGTGCAATCATTGCGTTTCTTGCATAGTCGAGTCAAAATGTTGAAATGAGAGCTTGCACGCGCGGAGAAGTGCCGCAATATTATTTAGTCGATCACTGAAAGATATTTAATTGTAAATGAAAGACGAAATAACAGCAGCTATATCGATTCGTTTTGTAGCTTATATTTACTATGATATAAAGAATATATATTTTATCCATTACAACGAGAAAAATGAAAAAAAAAATAAATTATTTTGTTTGTAATCGTTTTGCCGTTATTATTTATTTGATTTTTAACTATATATTGTTTTCCTTACTTCCTCTCGTGCTATTATTTGTGTAAAATACGTCATCTCTTTACGAGCATTGTAGATAAATCATCGAAGCTTCATGTGTACTTGAATGTTCATAACGAGTGTCTTGCTGTACATTCCTCGATCTTTTGTTGCATCATGTAGTTGGACTTTGTTTGCTCTAAATTGGTAAGCATATCATTTTTATACGTTTTTTGTTGTTGTTGTTGTTGTGCTATGCTTTTTTTTTAACTTAGTCATCAATGCATATAGTAACTAACGTAAATGTACTATAAATAAACCACAATACTATTTTCTGCAAAATATTATTAAAAAAAAAACATGAATTCTCACAAATACACAATTACAGAGTAAAACGTACCATGTTACACGTACGAATATTTATTCAACTCAATTAACAGATATTGATACTTTTGACACTACTCCACGACAAACGTAGAATTTTTCGATCAATTGTACTTCTTATACGATATTTTTGTACGAGGATAAAAAAAATACTATCGAAAAACGTTACAATATACGGCAGGATAAAAAGGGTAGAACGTCCCTGTGAATCCATATACTATCTGGAACTTGATTGAAAATATTTCAATGTATAGCCAACGAAAAAAAAAATAACCTGCAAGAATTTGAATGACAGTGACCATAGAAAATCTTTTACAATACCCCCCAATCAACCATTCGTTAGACATGTTTTTTTTTAATAAATGTAGACGTCTCGAACATTGGACAGATTGTATAGAAAATATGGCTGTATACTTACTGCAGATACGCATCGGTGACAGTACGAATCGATGCCCATATACTTGTACTGGGCAATTTTTTTAATGATGTGTTTGTTTGGAGTTTCCTCGTCATCCCGAAATATGATACAATTTTTTTTTTTCAATTATTCATTGTAACTGTTTTTCCATACACATTGTTAACCGCCTGCAACCAAATTTTTTCTATACCCCCCCCCCCCCCNNNATCCCCCCCCCCCCCCACTTCGTGCTCTTGCAATGTTTTTTGTCATTCGATGTGTGGTTTTATGGATTTTTCCGTTTCTTTTTCCTGCATTTTATAATCAATAACGATACCGTGTACTGGTATCCGGATCAAATGTTCTGTGAATTGCAAGCTTGATCACGCACAAAGTGTACCGATACGTGGCAAAAATTACGAAAAAACGCCAGAGAATCGGCACCGCATCGAGTGAATACATCCACCCTTTTTTCCTCTCTAATTTATATCCTTGACAAATGAAACTGCTGCTTTGGGCATGCGTGAGTACGAGCGATTGGAGTTTGTCATCACCATCATCATCATTAAAAAAAAAAAAATCATCAAAATCAAAAACAAAACAATGAAAAAAGCAAAAATCCCACCCCCCAAAAACCAATAGGCGAGGAGTCGGAACTGCCAACAACAATTACCACCACAAGCAGCAACAGCAACAGCAACAGCTGGTCGGCGTCGTTCAGCCAGCAGCAGCACTGCCATCGGCAGCAGGAAACGAGATCGGAGGAGGTCGTCAGCATCATCAGCAGCAACAGCAGCAGCTGCGAAGTAGACGCGGCCAACGATCCGCGTCACACGCTCTACTGGAGCAGACCAAGCCCGGGCTCGACGACCCTGGAGGACGTACTCGACTCTTTGCTCGGTCTACCATCAGCCTCACGCAGTCCGAGTCCTGGTCCAACTTCATCGACTCATCATCATCGTCCTACAAGCAGCAACAATCACCACAGCAGCAACAGCAACAACGACGCCGCTGGAGCCACGACTACTCATCATTATCACCATCGTCACCGCAATCACTGATGATGATAGATCCGCAGCAGCAGCAGCAATTACAGAGCAGCGTCAAGTCGTCCAGAACAACAACAACAACAGCGGCAGCTCGGCTGCGACGCTCAGCCTCCGTCGATTGTCTCTTTCTGAACGATCAGGAGCTACTGAATCTCCAGCAAGCCATCCTCGGCTTGACCGTCGATACGCGAGCCTCGTTGCGCAACAGCCTCCAAGGTAGGGCCACGAGGACGACACGAGGTGTTCATCTTTTCTTTTTTGTTCACCCCCGTAATTTTTTATTATACATATCTCTTTTTTAACCTGTGTATGGCTGTGGTTTTTTGTTTTATTTTGTTTCAAAATTTTTTACCAATCACTATGTGTACGCTCGGTTGTTTCGACGAGCCAGATATTTTTTGACGCACCAATTAAATACACCTCTCCGCTCCGCAGTCATGCTGTGTGCTACTACGTACATGGAGTATAATTGTTGTCTGAAAAAAAATTTATATACATCATTTATGGTTAAATATTTTGATGTGTGGCTCGAACCACCGAACAAGCTTAAATATGACGTTCGAGCGAATTTGAGATGTATACACCTGTTGTACATGCGCTTGCAAATCATTTCTCGAGCTTCGTCGCACGCTATTTTGTATTATTATTATTATTATTATTACTTGGATGATGACATAATATTATCAGCCACGGCAACTTGCCTATCAAGGAGACAATTGAGTCTTCGTGCGAAAAGCTTTTTTTCTATCATAGTGTGTAGACGATTTATTATTCTTTTTTTTTCACTTTCTTTTTTATAAGAGAATAAAAACACCTTGGGAAACGAATTTTTATCGCGAGAGCTGAAAGCTTTCATGTCGGCAGCGAGAGAAGTGTGTGTGTATAATGCGCTCGATTGCTTGCCTTTGTACAAACATATAGCTGAAAGTTCGTTTTCCGAAACGCTGAGCTTGTGTATCATCATTATTGATAATTATATCTATTTGGATACCGATTAATTATGGCCTCACAGCTTTGTAACTTTTGGCAGCTAATTGTATTTTATTATTATATTAAGCAGGTGCAATTCGCATAATTATCATTATATCTCATGCAAAATCATCATTCGTTGTGTATCATGCGCCGCCTTTGAGATCGAAATCAAAATCGATTGTTATCATTTCGCCTGCGATCATGTCGTTTATATATAGAAAAAAAAATTTACTTTCAAATCCTATTTCCATCCCTCCGACGTCGTTCTCCCTTTTATTTCCCGACAAAAGCGACGATGCTGTATACGGGGTGGGGAGATGATTCTGGGATTTACGATTGAAAGTGAAAAGGTCGACTGTAGAATTTATACAAGTGCAGCCTTTGACAAAGACGCCGACGGACGAGAACGCAGGAATCGTAATAATTTTTTTTTTTTTTGCTCTCTTCGAGTAATAACCTGACAGACGTAGGGACCGAGGATAAAATTGAATTTTCATGATATAAATGAGGTTTTCATACACGCACCGAATGTAGATCACCGAGGCGGTTAGGAGGAGGATAAATCTCGATTCAGAAGAATACGTTTTTTTTTCTGTCTCACAGTCGTCAGCCAACGATTGTGTTTTTTTCTGAACAAACTTGAATTCGATACGCCTTAAACAAGTACGGATTAATAAAATAATTAAATTTTACGGGGAAATCCCAAAGTTTTGAAAGAGCAGCTTTCAGTTAACAATAGGTAAACGAACTGAAAATTGTGCGTCACAGTCATCCCGCACCGATAATCGCTTTGTCAAAAGTGACACGACAACAGAATCGAGGACGTATAAAAATAGAAGATGTCAGTACGTGTGTATCGCACATATTTATAAAAAAAAAAAAAAAAGATCGAAATCGAGCTTGAAAAAGTCTGCAAGGTAAAAAATTCATAAATATTATCGTAATTATCGCTATGATAAATCGTTAACTACGAAGGGATCGCATAAATAAACGCATATATAATCAAACTCATACATCATGACATTTCACTTCATAATCCACATGATCACATCACTATTCATCATCTTCTTCATTATTTGTATACTTCATACGCACACATTATATATTCATTATATTGTTATAAGATCGCTGCAATTACTTTACGCTTTATTAATCATTATTATTATTATTAAAAATAGCTATGTTGATCGTTGTTATTATGATAATTTTATTATACATATAATCGATGATTCGTTGTGAGCCCGTGATTGGTGTAATTCGATGTGCTCCGCTTTTGCAGTCTCATTGTGTCACCGAGAATTTCATCAAAATAAAAAAAAAACTCGTTTCTCACCCATCGACGTGTGATCTGGATAAAAAAAAAATTCATAAACGCACTCGCAAGTAGTAAAGCCCACATCGAGTCAGACGCGTGATCGCGGCCGCATCGAATTCCACCAATTACAAATCTCGCAACACTAAAAAACAACAACAAAAATAATAATCTCTTTCATCGTAATCATAGATATATATCGGTCGATTAATGCATCATTTTCGAAATGTTCCGACAGCAGCCACGCATCAGCGAACCCAATCGACGGACAGTCGCATGACTACTTATCAGCAGCAGCAGCAGCAGCAGCAAATCGTCCGAAGCCGTCCACCGTTGCAGCGGCGGCGTAGCGAGGGCAACGAGCCCACGCCACCGCTGCCGCCGCCTCATCAGAATCGACCCCATCATCATCATCCGCCACCGCAGCCGCCACCCCGTCGCACCTCCTTAGACAGCATGGGTAGTTTCGACAACGTAGCGCTTCTTCATCATCAGCAGCAGCTACGCCTTCAGCAGCAGCAGCAGCAGCAACTGCAGCATCTACAATCGAATCCCTCTAGCAACAACAACAACAACGGCAACGAGGACCGCGTGGTCCGCTGCCGGAACAGCAAGTGCCAGAACCAGGCCAGCCTGGCGGAGGCGCGCAAGACCTACAAGAGCTGCCACAACTGCACCTGCCTGTACTGCTCGCGCGAGTGCAGGCGCGCCCACTGGCACAGGCACAAGCGCACCTGCCTGTACTCGCGCGCCAACAGCCTCTGCATACAGGTGCTGTCTTCCATCAAGAAGGATCCGCAGAGCCTCAAGCACCTGTCGCAGATGGCGCGCCGCGGCTACCTGGCCCACGGCCGGGGCGCCGTCAAGTGCTTCTTCGCCAGTCCCGAGGCCGCGGAGAAGTACGTGCAGTCGGGCTTCCAGGAGCTCGGCGAGCCCGCCTACGTCAGGTGGTCGGACGTGCTGCCGAGCGAGATGGGCGCCGAGCTCTACGCCGAGGCCTGCAAGCTCTGCGAGTCGTACAACGCCGAGACGCGCCTCGTCTGCTACGTCTCGGTCTGCGTAGTGAGGCAGGTGCCCAGCGCCAGCGGGGCAGTCATGTGGGAGCGCCAGCCGGTCTCGCGCTGCGCCAAGCTCAAGCTCGAGGCCAGTTGCCGCGCGCCCCAGACGACGCAGACCGCGACGACGTCCTCGGCCTCGACGACCTCGGCGGTGGCGTCGCCCCAGCCCCAGCCCCAGCCCCAGCAGCAGAAGCCGAAGATGCAGTCGGCGCCGCCACCGCCTCCGATTCAACAGCAGCAGCAGCAGCAGCCACAACCGGCCAACATAACCCGGGACATGGACTCGCCGGAGACGCTGGTGCTGACCTCGAGGCCGCTCCAGGCGGGCGGCCCGCCGGCGCGCCACAGCCGCGAGCTCGCCTTCGAGAACATCCAGCGGCTGCTGAGGCAGCGGGGCGTCTCGCTGAGGCGCCACTTTCCCCAGGTGCACGGCAAGCTCGGCGCCTACGTCGAGGCCAGCGACGCGGACAAGTTCGCCCCCGTGACCATTTACCCGAGGGATCAGGCGAGCGGCCGAAGCTTCATGTGCATCATCATGCTCGAGGCCGAGCCCGAGCGGCTGCGACTGCTGCCCACGGACTCGTCGCGGGTCAAGACCGTCGACGTCTGCCTCGAGCACGAGATCGAGTGAGAGACGAAAGTATTGTCTGGTATGAATGAATGGCGATGAATTCGATCGTGTATAATCATGATCGACGAGCCGATGAATTAAACCTCGTGTATTTCATTCGTGAATGGCTGTTATTGATTTTTGTGTGTACACAACGAATCTTTGATTTCAAATTGTCGTACTCTTCCGCCTATATTATAAAAAAAAAATAAAAAAATTTCGATCGTGTCTTCAATCTTCGGAAAGTCAAATTGCTTATAAAATGTAAACGATAAAAGTGAACAAAATAATCGAAGTTTCATCTCTTCAACGATAATATCAATGTTCTTAAAAATATATTACAATTATTATGTGTGTGCATGCCCTGGATCGATGCATCTCTACCTCGTTGTAGTACGAATACCAAAACCATATGTGTGTGTGTGTACGTGTACGTGTGTAAAACTCGACTTTGAATTTTTCTTTTTTACCGGAAAAAATTTTCGTCTCGCTCGCTTGAAGTGAACGAGCTCGCGAAAATCCGCTTGCGAGATGTCGCCACCCAAAAAAAAAAACAGTAAAAATAAGTAAATAAATAAAAAACAAGCTTGATCGCGCATAAGAGAATCGATGTAGATGCTGCAGAAAAAATATTATATCCCTGGTGGAGCATTCATTCTAAAAATTTCTGAAACGATTGAAAAAAAAAGCAAGAAAAAAACCAAAAACAAAAAATTGTATATTTAGACGAACCTAGGTAGATAAATAACATTGATGATATTAAAAATTATTAATTAATAATAAAAACAAGTATAGATTGTAATGCATGACGAAATAGCGAGTCGAGGATAATTTATTAAAAACTGACATTTCGTTGTATCAAAATCGAAGTTTTAGAGTATTTTTCACCAGTTTATATATATAGAATATATATTCTATGCGAGCTTTATCGCAGTTCGATGTTTTTTTTTTTGTTAAAACATTGTTATTTACTGCTATTATTACGCAAACTCGTATTTATACTTAATTAATAAAATTAATACGAATAGACAAAATATTGTAAAGTAATCGTTTTTTCGCCTATGTTAGGTTTTCAATCAGCAGGTTTATAAATAGTAAAATATTAGCGGATTATTAAATACGTGTACAATGCTGCTTTTCCGAATCTTCGCAATAGAAACGACCTGTGTACATAATGTAAAATTACAATTTTCCCATGATAAATTAACGAACTATAATGACGTGCATATTTTCGTGCGACATCCTGCAACGTGAAATAATTATTTTTTAAGTATATGAACCGTGTGAGACCCTCGTTTTTCGTACATAATGTTGCACAAAAAAATAATTATTACAAATACTTTCCTTGTTTGTTATATAATGATGTTAATCGTGTATCATATTTTTAATATTTTACTGTGTAAAAATATGTATGTAATTAATTACAGCTGAATTTGATAATCAAAATTATGACATTTAAGCTCATTACTTTCTATGTAAGTGTTATAAATTATATTTAAATCCCTAAGTATATTGTTACAAAATCTTAAGTTAAGATGATTTATAACATTGTTTTACTACGTCACTTACTTTCATTGATCAGTCACGTGAATTGTTGAAAGAAAAATATGTTTTGTCAATAAACATATCATGTTGTACGATCTTAGAAAATTCAATTGCTTTATTTCTCTGTATCTATATCGCGCATGTTGGCTTTGAAAATTTTCATTCAAAAATTTCTTTTTTTTTATCAAAGATTGATGCGAGTGACGATAAGTTGATGTATCGAAAATGAATGTTGAACAATCGACCATAATGCTACCAAATTAAATATGTAACGAGAAAGTATACTTGGAACGTGTAAAAAATTTTTAGCGAAAGCAACCGAATTCAAGCGCTTCCTGGACCTTGTGACGTGTGTGCGTTTTAGATAATCCCTGAAAGTAGTATCTTGCACCGAATTACTTGCGTTGGACTTTCACGCGAGGAAACCATGTTGAACGATACGATTATAATATGAAAACATTGAAATTGCGTATGATGATATTGGTTTGAAAAAGAATCAAAATGAATTAATGAATGTATCTGTTAGAAATCAAACATTAAATAAATATCTTTAAAGAAAAGATGACCTATTTTTTGACTGTTTCATTACATATACCACATTAAATTCATTTATAGAAAAAAAAAATATTGAACTGCTGTTCTTATATTAAATCACTCATAAAGAACAATGAAATGAAATTGATAAATCATTGCCATGAAATTGTAAAGAACTTACAGAATTGGTTTGCTATTTAGATTTTATGTGCGAAAAATCCTAAAAAACTAGAAAGACGTGAAAAAGCGCGCTGAAACTCTTAGATAATCAATTGATCGTCTTGACTTGACTAAACTTTGAAAAATGTTTTTCGTCTATACTTCAGTAATTAATTACGCTCGTTGAACAGTAAAAATGTATATTTAACGATATAAAAATATTACAAAAATGACAAATAAATTTATTATAATTAAAAATTACTCATACTTGCTGCAAACAATCGACGCTTTCTCTCAACTCACGTATGAAAAATCCCGACACTTGTAAAATTTAAGATTTTATAACTTCACTCTGGAAAAGTGTATTTTATTCTATCCAGAGTTTAATTGAATTATAAAATATAGTGCCAAGTCGCTAGATAAGGATAAATTTTGCTTTTTCAAACACATCATTTTTTTTAAAGTAAAGCCCAAGTATCAGATACAATGATCAATCAAACAGCAAAAAAATTCAAATAAACATTAGAAAATATAAAAAGAATTGATTGAATAAATTGAACGAGTGTGTATACTGCGTGTAAACTCTGATGAAGAATGCATAAAAAACCTTTATGAATACGATTTGTCCGCAATGTTTTTTTTAGTTCTATGATGAAAAATGTCTTTAATGATATCTTCGAATAGGTACGATGTATTCGGATAATTTGATAGAACGATCAGCTTGAAAAAATTCAACAGCAGTCGTGTGCTTAAATTTGTTTGCTGATGTAAGAGTATGAGAAGAAAAATATTTATAATTATTAAAAAAATCCTATATCGTTAAAACTGTAAATCATTTTAATTTTATAATAATTACATCTATAAAAATTTGAAATTGATAAAATTTTGTTTACATAATATTATAAACTATATAAGTCTCGATAAAAAAACGCTTGATTAGATGAATGCATAGTGATTGGATATTCACATTGTACTTAAGATTTGATTCGGCTAGTAATTTATTGAATTGTAATAGGTCAAAAGAAATTTGCGTTAAAGACGTATACAACACGTACAAGATTGTAACACAATTTAATCGCAACAAAGTGTCCATCAAGGGAGTTAAAACTTTTTGACGACATAAAATAAATAAGTGTTGAAAAAAATAATTATAGATTTATGAAGCATCGAAAGTGACTTCGTCGAGTTCTTTCATTGAAAAATTCGAGTGATTTACTCGAAGACTGCTAAAAAGTAAGATAACGATTGTTCATGAACGTGAGAAAACGATTTTTGCAGAGCTGTTCAAAATTGACTGATTTTTATCGCTCAATTGTGTATTAACGTCTGCATTCTTCTAGCATTTCTCGTACAGAAACGCATCCTTCATTTCTGACGATGACAACTTTGAATAAATAATATTGTTTAGCAAAATATAAATTAGGTTGTATTATTTAAACTGATACAATACTGTTTCAAAAATTTTATCGATTCACTAAAATATTATGAAAAAAACTGTATAACTCGATTTTACAAATAAAACCTTAATTTTATTGTACAGACTTTGAAATAATTTATTTGAATTATGTAACATCGATCAAGTTATTGATCGTAGAGTTGAAACATAATCACCAGCAATGTTCTGACATTTATAATTGTTAATATCTGATTCCATCGATCGTTATTGGTCGAATTCGAATTATTTATTGATACGACTGATAAATAAGTAGATTTGACCGATGATACATCTGGTGTCGGTGGACGAAGCTGTCGATCGTTCTTGGACTAAGATACGATTAGTAATATGTCGTTTAACTCGGTTTAACTCGGTTTTTAGCTGCATTATCATTTCTAAAAATATAATATTATTTTAGATGAAAAAAATTGTATTTACTATTTTTAAAATATTTACATACATAATTTTAATTGAAAATTCTCTTATATATTTCAACTCGTCATTATCAATATCTGATCCTATTGCTTTCAAATATGCTCGTATTGCTTGAAGGAAATCAGGTTTGGTTAGAAACGTAGTACAATTAAAAAAAGATCTAGCCGATTTCATTATGGAAACGTCTTGTTTCTCTAGTTCTGGAAGACAACGCAGTTCATTATAATACTTGCACGCATTATTTCGATCACAACTATATATTTTCAAGTAAGTTTGATCGTCTTTTCCCGGATACAATACGATCTCTATACATGCGACCAACAGTATCCCATAATTGATCCGATACAGATGTATTGCCTTGACATAATCAATTTTAAGCGTAAGGAGCGTATTTTTAAACGTGTTGCGTTCTATTGGACCCCTACCTCCTGAACTTTTTTGCATCACCTTCCGTATCATATAAATCAAAAGATGTCTATCCTCTAAATTCTCTTCTTCAATTTCCTCGACAATTAAATATTCTTGTAAATTGATAACAGAGGTTGCATTAAGTTTGTTTAAAAAATATTCTGGTGTAATTAATAACGAACTATATCGAGGTTTACGTGAAGTAAATTTAGGCTCAACTGGCTGCTGTGGTTTATTATTATCTCTAAAAATAGAATATAATTTTAGAATGAACAATTTTATCAAAAATTTGAAAGTATTTACTAACATAAATTGAATCGATGCTTCTCGGATATAAGATAATTCATAATTATCTATTTCAATATTTCTTAAATATGCTCTAATCATTTTCAAGAAATCAGGTTGGTCTAAAAGCTTAGAGCTCTTAAAAAAAGATCTAGCTGATATAGCTATGTTCACTGTTTGTTTCTGTTTTTCTGGAACACCACACAGCTTATTATACATCTTCATTGCGGTCGATCTATTACAATCATATATCTGCAAGTATTGTTCATAATTTTGGTTTGGGTACAGGATATATTCAACACTAGCCACAGCCAATATGCCATAATTTAATCGATACAAATTTACCGTTTTCAAATAATCAATCTTAAAGCTAACAATCGTACTTTTAAACGACTTTAAATAACACAACGGTATTTTAATTCCCACAAATCTTCCCATTACCTCACGTATTGTATTCCTTAAGATATTTTCATCCTCTAATTGTTCTTCTTCGATTTCGTTGAGATTCAAATAATCGACCAAATTAATAAGCTTATCAACGTGATTTTTTTGTAAAAAATATTTACATTGTACTAAATGGTTCATCCTGCTTTCCCTCATGTCGAAATGCTCTGGCACTGACCAAACAATATATTTCTATTTGAATATTTGATGTGTGAGACATCCGACAACAAGCACGGATCTATCTATACTAATATAACAGTTACACAAATTCACTCTTCGTGAGGTAAACATCGTGGTTTCGCATAAATATTAGAATACAACAGTCAAATAATACAATTATGAAAGCATAATTTCGAAATGTATCTTTGAAAGTATTTTACATATTCTCGATTAACTTTTTTACTCTAAAGAATCCAGATTTTGGTAGTATAGAAATCAACGGCAGATCTAGTCTCGATCACACTTTTTAAACCTAAACCTAATCCACTCGAGAATCACCTGGCTCTTATACCTTGATACCCTGTTTGCAACCGTAGAGAGCTTATATATGAACTTAAACACCAAGTCCCCATTCTCTATGGTGATTTAAAATTGAAAAAATCAGGATGTGATTATACAGCTGTGGAAAAAAGGACCCTGATACGTATTTTATTTCCTAATTGACTCGACGCATTTGCTTAAATCCTCCACACAATTTGGCAGACTCCGAATCATACATTCGGAGTCGATATTTATGATTTCGACTCTCTGTTTATCCATTTCCTATGTTTCGTTCTCGCAGAGCAAAGATAATTCGTCGTCGATTCGATTGGCGCATCGTTTGCGTTCAACGCGTCCTCGTAAACGGCAGGCTCGATGATCTCGTCGGAGATAGCTGGACAAACATTTTCGACTTCTTACCACAAATTGGTCTCGTAGCACTGAAGGCGCCATGCTTTACTCTTTACCGTTTCTTTTTCAGCTTCGCGCACCGAAAACAGCCATTGACAGATTTTTTTATAAATCTTTATAGAATCGTAAAGCAAAATTTATTTTTTTACGAAACATTTTGCTGCAATTTAAAACCCTGAGCTCTGACTCTGATGAATGGGTGATTCTTGCTTCGTGGACAAAAATTTGCAAAAATTTCCATGATTAGCAAGTGGCAATTTTTTTAGTAAAATGATTCTGAGACAAAGACCGTGAATAAATTAATTGATATTTAGTTCTTTGAAAATTTTCATTTAATTTTGATGTTTGTATTTTACATTATCAAGAAAAACACACGTTAAGAATAAATTTATTGAGAAAAAAAAAACAAAAATTCGGATTCTTTTCAAATTCAAATATTACATTTTCTGTCTCGTAGTTGAAGAGTCTGACATCAATTTTAATTATTTGCCACTGGCAATAGCAGAAACTGCTATAGGTACTGCATTCTCTTTTATTTTTTCTTTGAGCTTTTCTCTGAGATTGACCCACTGCATAAAAGTAAATGTTGTTATTACATGTATTGGTCAAAGAAAAATTATCTAAAAACATTACTAACCCAACCAGCTCTTACAGCTGACATGCTCAAGATCACAATCAACATAATGACGAGTACTCGTGGAAACACCATGGTGTTGATTTTACTTCGATGATTTCTATACTTCACTTGAACGATCGCTAATGCCGGACAATGTAAGTCTTGGAGTTGTACGAATCTTTTATAGGTTGAAAAAATGATAAAGCTAGGCAGTCTCAACTTATGCATATTCATTTTTGCATTATTTGGAATGGAAAATTGCTTGAATAGTAGTAAAAATAGAGGATTCCCACTGGATGGTATTCATCTTTGAAAATAAATAATGCATGACATCTAAAAACTATTAAATTTATCATTTTGTTACATTTATCAGTTATTTTCCTACGTGGGATTCACACTATATTGATAATGAATATTC